CTGAAGGGCAGCAGCATTGCATTCTTGTGTGATATTGACGCCAAGTATGAAATCATGGCTAAGCTGCAGATAATTGTGAGTGATATGAAACAAATAATTGAGACCTTTGACATGCAGACATTTGCTGCTGAGCTGAGGAGGTACATCTCATCTATCAACTTTAGACCTCACATTGAGGAACTAATGAGTCAGATTCCCACAGAGATTTTCAGTGACATAACAGATTATATTAGAAAAATTATTCAGGACATTGACATCGTAGGAAAGATAAATGCATTCTATGTTAAGATGAGAGAGCTGATAGTAAAGTTTGAGGCTGACAAAAAGGTCCAAGCCATCTTGGAAAAGGTTGTGGAGCTCATCAAGCAATTTAGAATTGAGGAAACCATCAGAGCTGTTGCCAATATGGTGAAGGACGCAGACATTCCTACCAAATTCATTCAAGTCTTCCAGGGTTCCATCAACAACTTGAAAACAACAGAGGTTAAGGATATGATTTCACAGTTCAATGTATATATTAGCATTATTGAGCAGAAATGTAAGTCATTTGAGTATAATGACTTTGTGGATCATGTCAATGAAATGATAGCTAAGTACACTACTCATGTGAATGACCTGATCAAGTCTCTTGAAATCCTTGAGAAACTTGAGGCAACAAGAGATTTTGCCAACTTGATCTTATCCTCTGTTAGGGTTCATGTGGAACAGCTTAGAGAAATTAAGATAGCAGAACTTGTGAAAATTGTGAAGGAATTCTTTGACGAGGTTGTGTTAAGTAATCTGAAGGGATTTGCTGAAGTTATAAAGCAGGAAATTGTAAAATTGGATGTCAATGTTGAAATGACCTCTTACCTGCAGTTAGCAAGAAAGTTCTATTCAGAGTTCATAACTATTGCCATGGACATGTGCACTAGTATGGTTGAAATCCTTAAGAAGGTGGCACCTCAGCAAAAAATTGTCAGTGAGATATTGCAGATCATGGAAGGGCTTATTACTGAACTGAAGAAAGCTGAGCTAAATATGCCATCCTTCACCATTCCTCTCACTGATCTTGTTATGCCTTCCATGAAGTTCAGCATCGATCAGCTACACCATTTTGAAATCCCATCACAGCTGGACATCCCTGAGTTTACTATCTTGGGTTTCCACACTGTGCAAGCCACCACTATCTCAACTAATGACATTAAACAGAGAATCATTGATTTGATTGATTTTGTTCTCAACTTTGAGATGAAGATGTTTGATATGGGTGCTTCATTTGGAGACCTGACTATGTACCTTCCTGCCCTGCCTGAGTTTTCACTTCCTGAGATTACAGTACCTGAGTTTTCCTTTCCCAGTCTTCCTCATGTTCCATCTGAGAAACTTGTTAATACTCTCCAACTCCCAACATTTTACCTGCCAGCCATTCCTAGTGGGATCATTATTCCAGGATTTGGTAAACTGACTTATGAGATAAAAGTCAACTCCCCCATCTACACTGTTAGGAATGCTGCTGAGGTCCAGAGGTCTCTTGATGTAGATGAGACTCCTCAGTTGATAGCTTTTATGACTTCCCAAGGCACCTCTCTCAGTTATGAAATCCTTAACTTTAACCTGGATTCCACTGCTCGTATTGCTGTTGCCAATGGGCCGCATGTTATTGCTGCTGAAAGCTTTAAGTTCACTCACAATTTTCTTGCGTTGGACCACCATGCATCTGTGACATTTTATGACTTCTCAGCCCAGGCTTCAGCCAAGACTATAGTAAAGGCCACCACAGCACCCTACAATGCTGAGCTTTTAAATGAAGCTTTCTTAGCTACCAAGGGTGGTTTATCTTCCACTATTGACACTTCCTTTAAACATACAGTCAACCTCCCCATCATGGGCCTCACTGGTGAGACATCTGTAACTCAAAAAGCTGTGGCACGCCAAGAAGGTGCCTCTATTACAATAACTGTTGGAAATCAGGGTTCTGCCACCTTCAACTCTCATGACAGTACCCACAAGAGTGACCTGCAAATCGTGGTCAATCCAAGTACAGTCAAAATGACCTTCCTTGGTGACACAGATACAGTCATTTTAAAGGTGAGACAGACCCTTAGTGCTGACTTTGTTATGTTCAGCAATTTAAAGTTTGATATTCGCTCTGAAGCAGAAGGCCCAACCATCAAAAACAGCCTTTTAGTGGGATCACTGAATGCCAATCTGCATGACATGAAGCTTGAGATGAAGGCAACCCATAGCACAGATTTAATTGGTATTGTCAATGGAGCCCTATACAATGTGATTGATGTTGTTCTCTGTCCTAGAGAAATTATGTTCGGCTTTCAAAATAAGGGAAACACCAAGGTCAGTTTCTATGATGCTCTTACTGCCAAAATTGATCTGCAGAATGATTACACTGCAACCTTCAGGCCTGACAAGCAACATATGAACACTGTCACTCTGGCCCGTTTTAATCAGTACAAACTTTTCTGGAACTTCACTGCAGAGAACAATGAGAGAGAGGCTGCCATCCTTACTGCTGTAAAAGGGGAAGCAAACTTTGATTTCCTGACTACGCCTCTCAGCATTCCTGAAATTGAAATTCCATTTGTTGACTTACGCACTCCAGCTATTAGTGATCTTGACTTGTATGACCAAACAGGACTGAAACACATTTTGACTACCACTCAGCAGACTGTTGATGTTGACACCAAGATTGTTTATCAGAAGAGCCAAGCTCCCCGCTTGGTTGATGTGATGGGTGTAATCGACATTCCATCTGTGGGGAACCTGATCACTGAACTGTCTTTCAAGTCTGGCATTATTAATCTGAATGTCAATGCTGGAATGTATGCTGAGGATGATCTTGTCTTCCGTCTGGGAGCTACCACAGCCTCTGTGTTTGAAGGTCTAAAATCCAAACTTGATGCCACCACCAGTTTGACCGTGAAGAGAGGAATAAAGTTGGCCAATTCCCTGTCCCTTGAAAATCATCACATGGAAGGCACTCATGACAGCCACATTAGTATGAATACTGAGACTTTTGATACTGCTATCTCTGTGGCCACTGTTGCAAAGATTGCTCTCCCTATACTCAATCTGGAAGCCAACCAAAATCTGGTTGCAGACACAAAAACCAAACCAAATGCTGTCTCCACCTTGAGGATGAAGGGTGATTTCAACGTCCCTGTAATCAAGGCTGTTGGAAAGGCTGAGGTAGACCACACTCTGAAGATGGAAGGAACCTTTGAGTTTGTTTCTATGGAGGCATCTACTAGGGCAAACATGGATGGCACAGTGCTTGAAGACTGTTTAGTTTTGGGAGTCCTAGATAATGAGGTTAATCTCTATCTGAATAATGTTGGCCTACACTCCACCTTCAAGGTTATTGCTGATTCCAAGCTTAACTCTGGCACCACAA